ATGTGGCACTTCCTGTTAATGTGTGGTTGAATGAGCGTAGAAGCTTGAGGCAGAGAAATCAGGAGGGTGCGGCATGCAGAGTGTGTCAGGGGGGAATCCCAGAAACCATGCAACATTGCCTCATAGAATGTGAGGAAGCAATCACAATATGGGGAGGAGCAAGGAATATATGGGGCCAGATCTCAAAGGCTAAGTTCCCTGAATCCAAGATAACTCTATTACTGGGTCTCCAAATTTCGAAACATTGGCAGACTTTTGAGAAACATACGTATAAATTGATTCGTCAATATTGTCTCTGGACCATTTGGAAGCGTCGGTGCCAGATTACGATTGAAGGTCGACCAATGCACAAGCAGGAAGCAAGGGAGATATTCCTCACACTGCTTGAAACGGATCTGAGGGCTCAGTGGAAAGCAGTAAGGAAGCAAATATATGTTCGACCAGAGCAAAAGGAAGAGATAATGAAACGCTTTAATCAGAATATTTTGGGACAGGGAGCGGTGGCAACCATAAGTGGAAGTAATTTAATGTTCAAATGGAGAGGGACGTAGAAGGGTGCAAAGAGGGTTTAGGGCTTAAGGAAAAAGGGAAGAGTTTAGGAGTTATGAGCTTCACGCATCGAAGCTGCGCTTACAGGTGAGGTTGTTTGGGCTATTAGTCAGAAGGTAAAAGCAGTAGGCGAGAGATGATTAGTGGGGGACCACAACAGGGGATGCAGAGTCTGGTCTGACGCAAAGATAACAAGTTGATTTTTGGGAAGATGAGGGGGAGGGGTAGAAAAAGTTGACGGCCCTTCTAGCTTTTCAAGTTCTAGTTGGCAGGTTCCGGAAATGGACCTGAGAGGAAAGGGTGTACCTGGGCCGTTAAAAAAAAAAAAAAAAAAAAAAAAGGAAAAAGGAAAAGGGAATCAGGGTTAAGAGTTGAAGGAAGGATTTAGGGGTTAAGGGTTATAGTCGGGTGAAAACAGGGAGAGTTTTAGGGTATAGGAGAGGTAATTTCTAACTGGACATCTTCGAACAGATAAATCAGGACAGCATTAAGACCAAGGGTTTAGGGTTTGAGGCTTAGACAGAAACAAGGCAAATGCTGTTAGAGAGTTATAGAGGCTTCAAAAGGCGCATAAGTGTTCCACAATGCTTTTGCATAATCATAGCTAACTGACAGCTTCATGAGAGGAGCAGTTCTGGGATCAGACAGATTGGCAGGCAGAGTTAGTACAGGCTAGATTAGGCAGGGGTGAGAGGTGGTACATCCTTCTTCAGGGAAGTAATCAATGCTGCCTACTCGGGCCTCTCAGCCATAATGGGGAGGAGCGTGTGTGAGTCTTTTATGTAATCCATATTGACTTGCC